ATTTCCACCTCATGACCCGTGTCGAGGAGATGTCTGGTAATAGCGCTGCTATAAGAGTTTGTTCCCTTGAGACGTAGGCTTTTCGGCACATGTTCAGAAAATCGGAGGTGTGCCCTTCTTTCTGTTCTCCCAATGTAACTGCTCCCGCAGATACACGTAAATTTGTATACACAGTTGGAGTTAACATGAGAAGGGTATCTATCGACTTTTGACTGCACCAAAGAGCATGTTGTTCGGTGGACGGGAACCAACTTAGCTGCAGGATAGGCTCTGGCTAGTGACGTCCTCATTCTTCTGTTGACCATTTCTGCAATGTCTTCACCTTTAAAGTCTAGTTCACATTTTCCTTTTCAAACTCTGGACTTCCCAATACTTCAGGTAACCAGCTATTGCTTTTCATTATTTTGTGTTTTACCTCAAGATTATCACCAGCACGTTCTCTTTGCCATAAGGTAATTCACACTCTTCGGATTATCTTTTTCATATTACAACGTGAATGAATTTTTCTTTTTTCGCTAACCCTCTGATCCCCTCTTTCCCGAAAGTAAAGTTTTGCTGATTAGTGTGGAAAATTTCTCAGTGATTCAAATCAAATTTTTGTCACAGCCTATACTTCTGTAGTGTACCTTGAATCTTTGAATTTTTGTTTTAACGCATTCACCCACTTTTAATGCGCCGCACCATCTTGTGATTTACGACGTGACTGTACACACGTGGCTCGCTCTCGCTTGTTGTGGTATCATTCAGCGCACTCTTCAAGCTTACTACCCAGTTGAGGCATCAGATAAGTTGTAGAACATCCTTATTTTTAGAAATTGATATTACATGTGTGTAAAATACGTCTCCCTTGAAGACACACTTCTAGTCTCAAGTCTTTTTACTTTGATTTCGTTAGTCAGTAGTTAAACGCTAGGTAGAGTACTGAATAATAAGCGGTGAAGTATTTAGTAAGTGTGGTTATTTGAGGTCTGTCTTAAGTATAGCCCAACACAGTACACTTCTTTGATAATATTATATTTTCAAGAGAAAAAGGCATTCGGTATAAAACGCACTTAATCTACAGATATTTCCAAAGAATTTATGAAGTACAGAAGCCTTTAAATAGCACTAGCTTTGCGAACTGTACGAATCCTAGTTAACTGTGCAACTGACTGATAGCAAGTTTCCCACTGGTGGCTTCTTGTTTCCTCTAAAAAATAAAATTATAACATGAAATATTGTAAATAAATAGTCGAAATTTACTTTATTCATTCAAACCATGTGAAAAGTTACCTCAACAGGGTAAGCTGCTTTCTCCTACCACTAAGGAAGCATTCAGGATTAGATAGTGTGCATTTAAACGCCAAGTAAAACCAATCATAGTGTTTGAGATACCTTGTATGCCTATTTCATTTCATAATGGGACCTGATACACAACTTCCTTCTATTGTATAGCTTTCTTCCAGGAATATAATTTGATCGGGACCTAATGAATTCGAAATGAGAAGTTAATTGGTGGATGGTGACTATGGTCGACCTGAAAAATTTTGGCTAGCGATCCACGCTGAAAATTCCATACTTGTACCAAAACTACAGTGTGGAATCAAGCTGTAATCAAAAATATATAATAAAATAAAAAATAAATAGCAGTGGAATCCAGGATGGGCATTTCGTCTTATTTGGGACTCGTCACTGGATGCACCTGCATTCTGCAGTGAGTGATGGTGTTCCCACCGAAGCTCAAACCCAGTCCCTACAGTTTCAAACTGACACTGAGCACTTCAGTTCAATCAGTAGACGGGAAAATCTAAAATTGAATTAATTCGAATTGAGATTATTCTATTAGACGTAACCCTCACTTATTACCATTACTGTTATCATATTTTTCCTTCAGTTCTGAGTGGAAAACAGGGATTCAGCGACATTCTCTTGTTTCGCTTTATTCACCGGTGTTATTTTCACCTGGCTGCATGAAGGACGGGCTGAAGACCTTTATTTTCTCTTCAAAAGATCTTCTCCATGTCACCCCGGAATCAAATCTAACTCATCTCTTTCAAATAGGGTTCCATCCGGGTGCCCACTTGGCGTGTGATGTTATCTGAATGTCTCCGCAGAGTGTATCTATTCCATCTGCTTCTCCCCTGCGTATTTGTTGAACAACAATTTTTTGGATAACTCGCTACAGGAGTCCCTCCTGGTCGAAGTAACGCTGACAAACATTGGCTTATGTCTGCAACGGGTTGTCAAAAACGCCTTGGGTGATATGTGTGACTCTTTTTTAGCCTTTACCGAGTGAAGTCTTACATTCAAAGCATGTTTCAATGTCTCCGGGATAATGTGGCCTAATATTTTTCTTGAGGTAGATAGGAGCATGACTCTGCGCATAGGCCCAGGTTATTCTCTGATTATGTAATTGTACTTCCAACAGACAGCTTCCTTTCCTTCCTTCCACACCTGTAGTTGTGGCGTGAGCATATCTGACGAAGTCTTTAGCGCTGCCTTCAACACTTCTAGGATTCATTCCTACTCTGCCGCTTTCCAGGCTTTCAGCGACTTTCCGACCTCCAGGACTTGATAACAATACTGAGAGTAAATAACAAAAAAAAGATGTTGATTAGAACTGTGGCAATTCATATGGAAGCAACGAAATGGCTTTTTTATCACTTCTCTCAAGATGGTATTTTGATAAGTATGTACTTTATATATATATATATATATATATATATATATATATAACGGTTTAATTTTTCAAGAAAATAACGCCGATTTTATAAGCGACTCATTTCTTTAAATCACATGAATAAAATCGCTTCAGGAGTAAGTCACATTTAAATATTTAAACCTCTGAATATTCCTTTCATAGTATGTTAAAGTGAGTGGTTGACATATTCATTCTATTTGAAAGATGTAGTAGGGCATGTAAAATTTATATTAGTAAAGCTATTCATCTACACATTAGATCGTCGAATAGATTTTTACTTCTTCTCATTTGACCTTATCTTTAATGTTTCACTTCGATCTTGTTTTTTTATTCATTAACGTTCCCAGTGGAACATAGGGCTTCAAGCTAGAGACTTGAAGTTTCTGTAGCAGTATTTATTTTTACGGGATGAGGTTGCTAGCCTCATGACCAGCCTTTCCTCTTCACCAGTCTTACTGCTGGCTTAGCGAGTTAAAGGAGTACACCGACCGGGGATCGAACCCCAGACCACCTACGTGGTTGGCAAGCACTCTACTGCTGTACCACAGACGTACTTTGGTCTTGTTAGAGAATGATCTGAGTTTTTAAATAACCATGGTTTACAACTGAACATACGCTATTGTACAAGACAGTCCTGCCGTTTCGTTGAACGTCCATAAACTAAAGAAAGCTCTTCTAATATCTAATAGCTTAACATTTGTTATGCAGTCATGCAGATTTCCGCAATCAATTAAATACAGAGAAACAATAAACACCTTAAAAACAACGCCATATGAACATCTTTTCCAATTTGAGGTGCACTTTTTTGGATTACAGCTGATTCCACACCGTATTTTGGTACAGGTATGGAATTTTCAGCATGTGATATCGATAGCCTAAATTTGCAGGCCGACCATAGATATCAGGTGTGCGTCGGCAGGGGATCGAACCTCGGACCATGTGCATGGTCGGTGAGAGTCCTAACCACTGTGCCACCGACGCACATTTGGCACATTTTGCAATTAAGTGTACTCAACCATTACTTTACATTATATTCCACAATAACAAAATAAAATGTATGAACAATTGTTCCATCATACAAAACAAAATTACATACTAATAATCAAACATATTTTAATAGGTCAAGTAGTCCATGGTGGGCGAAGGTTGAATTCTATTCTTTTTGTGCATATATTTTGAGATACATGTGATCAAAGCAAAGTTCTTCGATCACCTTTAATAATCCTTCACATTTATACGAATCATTGGTTTCGCAGAGAAAATAAGCCAAAGTTTGTCTTCCTCTATGAACAGGGCAGGTGATTTTTTGGTATTTCTGCTGATGTGCAGATCCAGATAAAGAGGTTTTCTGGGGCAGAAAATGTGAATGGTTATAGCAGTGTAAGCTACATGGATCTTTTGGTGAAGCGTTTGGGGGTAACCATTTTCAGTGGAATCCTTTTTAGAGTGTTCACTTCTCTTTCAAATTGTGGGATTTGCAAATGTTATCGAATCTGTGTCTCAGAGAGTGGATCAGGCTTCTTTTTATGTATTTTTGGTGAGAGCTGTCTGCAAGCCGAAATTGTAGACAAACATTTACGTCAATATTGACGTCCCGAATCGGTATCATGAGAAAAAACAATAACAAATATTAACCTTGAGGAACTCATCATCCAATCACAGCCCACTTAACGTGTACAAATAAGATTCGCAAAAATATGCCTTACTTTCTAAGAAACGGCCACAAAGAGATGACGAAATTACCTTCATTAAGAAAAACTAATCAGAAGACGTTACTTCTCTGCTAACAATAATGAATAATAATGTACATAAAAATCTTAAATATCTGTTGATTTTCTTAATAAACTTTCTGTTGACTGGCCCTTGTTTTCTGTCGTTACAATTAAGGCACAAAATGTAGAGGTTTGTAAGTTGTCTATTCCATACTAATTCACCCTCCACTAGTACATTTCTACTCCTTATGACACTAATTTTAATGCGACTCTCATCCAATTTTATTTGAATTCCACTCGATTCCGTCAATTACAGTATGTCAGGCAATTCATTTATTTAATTGTGCTTTAGTTTCTACTTGATGAACGATTTCTGTATTATGTAACTATCATCAAAACTTACAATTGTAATGGTACATCTTTGGAAACATTCCTTTCGTTGTAAGATAAATTTACTATACTCATATACATATATATATATATATAGTGGTTGTGCAGCTTTAGAATGATGTCTATGAAAAGGGTAACTCTTCGTTGAATACCACTTCTTTGTGATTTCTTCAAGTTTTTCTTATTTTAATCTTAATTTCTTTTTAATTCTCTTTTAGATCAATTAAAAATACCAATATTAGATGGTAACAATTATGCTCAGCAGTCTGATCGATACAGTAATACTTTCAACAGATCTGATTATCATTATTTGCAATCAGATATGAACGAAAGAATTCCATATGTCACAAATAATCAAACAGAAATATTGAACAGAAATCAAAATTCATCAGGTGAATTACTTTATTCAAGTAAAACTGGTCGACTTCTACCTCCATCGAATAGCAGCAGATGCAATCGAACACGTAGTCATGCTTCTGTAAGTTATCTTATTTAGTATTTATCATGATTAATTCAGATATGGTAACCAGTTATACTGACATAGTGTGTAGTCTAGTGGATAACGCTTCGACATTTGAAACTAAAGGGCATTGGGTTCGAGCCTCTGTGGAAACGCCATCACTCACAGGGGAATACAAGTAAACCCAGGTGACCACGAGTTCCAAATAGGACGAAATACGTATCTTGGATCTCACTGCTAGTCACCATCCACCACTTGACTTTAGGTTACATGACCAGACATCGTTGAAGCATCTACACAAGCAGCCGACATGTCAACCTGAGACCGAGCACTTCAGTTCAATCAGTCCACGGGAAGATCTAAAATTGAATTAAGTAGTGTTTTGCTTTTGGTTATTCATATGCCTAACAATGAAGCTTACTTTAATGCATGTTGATAAATTGCTGAACAAAAGTAAAGGATGGGATGCCAAAGACAAGTTCGCAAGAGCGAGACAGGGCTTCCTTAGTGTGAAATCAGTCTGGAAATCAACTGCAATTAACATAAAGAATTGGATTTATATTTTCGTCACTAATGTAAAGTATAGTTCTTCTACATGGTTCAGAAACTTGGTTAGTCACCAAAAACGCCTTCAGTAGGCTGGTACACACTTTATTCAACAGCTGTCTTCGTTTCATACTGAACATCAGGCAGGCAGAAAAGATAAGTAACAAATACCTCTGGGAACGAACCACCTGAGAATCTGTTATTCAATAAATATGCCAAATAACATCGAGATGAACTAGGCACATATTGAGGAGACCGCTGAGTGGAAAACGATTACTTAGGCTTGCGTCTGGTCCGAGGATGATAAGCAAGAGATATTGTGAGGAGGAGATGAGACCCTAAGTGTAATTGTGCAGCTAGCTAGAGAAGCCTGAAAGGAACAGGACGAAATGGAGATGTACTGTTGAAACCCTAGATTACACTCCGAAGTTAAGGGAATAATAGCCGTCATAGTGGATTAGTCGTTGTAAACCGAATGGATCATAAAATGTTACACATAACAGATAGAATAAGAATATTCTGAACTCTTTCTATTCTGAATAGAACTGCAGTGTATGAGTTAGTTTGAAAAATGCCCTAAATATTCAATGATTCCCACTAAAAATGTTTCGAAATCTTGCAAATGTACCAACTTCATTTTTACAGCTTTCTAAATAAGGAAACTAAATTCAATTTTTAATTGCTAGTGGACACTTTGTGGATTTAGATATTAATTCAACCAAGGTGGAATATGAATACACTTTGAATATAAAAAACGGAGAAAAATTTCTTTTATTGAATGATGGCAATTCATGGTTATGCAGTACATCTTTTAACTTATTAACATACTAGATAGATGTAAATTCACACTTTAGTGATGACAAATGTACTTGCTGTTAAAGTGTTCATCACTGTCTTATTGAGGAAGATATCATGCCTCATGTGTAGCATAGTTAAGTGGTTCACATAAGGTTTAACTGCATATAAATCTGAACTGTTAATGTGCCAGGATTTCATCAGTTTCAGGTTAGATCATGGATTGATATCAGTTAGAAAGCAGTTGAAACCAAGAGGTACTGGACAGTTGACTCATCTTAAACTCTTCATCAGTGTGCATACTGAACCCCACCAGTGATAGGATTCCACATACTAGAGTATATCATCTTTTCTGATGCATATTGTGATTTATTTTGCGATCAATCATTTTTTCACGGCTGTGACCCGACCTTATTGTTCTAAAAATGTATAAACATCATGTGTCGTTTTCTAATAAATGTACACTACAGTATCTTACAGTCACAGGCCAGCCTTTGTCTTTATATTTGCGTGACTCAGTGAATCGGAAGGTACTACCGACAAATAGGCATATTAGCGTATCAGTTGAGTTCATTACCGTCATTGCCAACTAGCAGGCGCAGTTATAACAAAGTGGCGACGCGTTTATTCATTTCAGTGCAGATATAACAACCGGGCACTGAAGTATGAACCTTCAGGTTACGAGACGGGGTCGTTGACCATTCAGCCTAAGAATTCTAACTTCTATCGACTGGTGATATATAGAACCGCCAGCAGACAATGTCTCATTCGAGAGCATTGTCTTCACACTCACCCAGGTGGACCCCACCAGTCAGGAATTTCAACTAGATCTCCAGGCAACTTTTTCCTGTAGTCAGTCTCTCGCTGAAGTCATTCGTAGTTTTAAAAAAGCTGGCTATTAGCAACATTTGCACTTTGATAACAAAGAAAATAAATAAATATTATTATTACAAAACCAAAAACACTAAAGTTCTCAATCAATAATAAGAAGACAAGCACTATGAGGTGCATAAATTATTGATTAAACAAAGCTTACGTTATCACTAAGTATGTTCTTGGTCAAATTGGAAAAACAATCATTTCTCTCACCTTGTTCCTACCTATGAAGATAAAGACGAGAACGAGTATGTCACAGATTTAAATTCTTCACTAGACAAGTGATAAGAGCTGTTCAGCGCAGTAGCTACACATGATAATTACCATACTAATTTAATTAACCTCTTTAGTTAGATATTTTCTTCAATACTCTTTAGAAAAATACCCATAACACTTTAGATGGACAAGTAAAAGTGGTCGCAAGTTGTATTCACTTATTATTCAAGTGTGTACATGAACTTGCATAAATATTGTGAATTCATGTTATGGAACAATAGAGAATATGTGAATAAAGTTGAATTAATTAAATCATACTGTCAGAGATAAACAGATTGAGAAAAAACAATAGGGTGGAAACGACAAGGTTATTTTTTTACAAATATGATTATATGAACACGATTGTTTTATTAATTGAGAACGATTAATGAATTCCATGAACTTTCCTGTCTCGTTCAATATATGAGAAAACATTTCATGTATAAAAGAAACTTTAAAAACAAACCGATGTCACGAAACGATTAAAGACCGATATGAATTCAAGTATTGGTTTGTAGGGATTTGTGTGATTGGTTACAGAACTACATCATGAGCTTACATCGGTTAGAGAACCATTGGAAGACTTGAACGGAGTATTGGACAGACGTTTCGTCTAGTTTGGGAATCTTCACGTCACCCACCTACGGGTGCATAAGCCACCATTGGCTTAATGGTCTACGAGCTTGTCTTGCTCGAACCCCGGTGGTTGTTATTTGGCTCGTTGTCAGAGTTTCTCGAGGCTTATCTTTCTGACAGGTCATCAGATCTTCAGTGGAGAATCAGCCCTGGCAGATGTTGATGAAAGACTGCAGCAGTCTGTCATGATGTACAGGTCTGTTAACCTTAAAGAAGCACTTATCTAACAATAGTGTTGAAAGTCCATATCTTTTTCTTTATGCTTCCTGGAGCAGACTTCCGCAATGACTCCAGTGTGAAGAACAGAACTGATTTTAAAACATCACAAGAGTAGAAATCAGAGAATTCTTATCGATTTGTTACAGGATTTCATCATGAGCTGACATCGGTTATAGAACCACTAGAAAACCTAAAGGGGATAGTGAACAGCTGTTTCGTCCTAGATTGAGACCCTTCACAGAACTCACCCACCGGACTGTTAACCCACGACCTTCTGGTTACAAGGCGAGCTCGAAGGTCCTGGGTTTTCCAATGGTTCTCTAACCTATGTCAGCTTATGATGAAGTCCTGTAAAAATCAGTTGAATCCCTATAAACTTGAATAGTTACTGTAAGTTATTAAACATAAAATGTAGCCTAAAGTTTCATCTGAGATTAAGAGTAATAGAATGTATTGACTGAAAGCTTTTCTCTCAAAAAAGAATAGTTTGGGGAAAATAGATGAGATTTTTTAAATTCCGAATACTCCAGAAAGGTAGCAAGCAGGGGATTAAAAAAAGGAATCCATGAAAAATACTTCATTTCAGTCCAAAATCCTTCTAGACAACACGCAATAACTACGAATTATATTTTCTTCAAAGTCTGAATCAAGAACTAGTGAGCTGTTTACTGACTAAACTGTGCAGTAAACTGGTAGGAGTTAGATTGCAGTGAGTCGTATGTTTATTGAAAGACTTGAATGATCCTGTCTCCATCTCATATGATACCAATGAACTGCGTTCGCGAGGTATCACACATGTTCAGCCTTCTGTGATTTCTTGTGGTTATCTGTCTGATGTGAAACAAGTTACAATGATCCATGTTCATATGTGTAAAATTTTTAATAGCAGTTTGATATGGCATATACAAATGTATAAGGTATGTAAAACCCTATAACTTGTCATACTCTCCTTACTGTGTTTGCAATATTGAGTGTTGCATATACGGTTTCGTGTAGGTGGTTCAGCGGCAAGATGCTCACCAACCATCCATATGGTCCGAGGCTAGATCCCCAGCCAGCGCACACCTCTACCTCACTTAGTCGGTTGTAACCCCACCAAAGAGGGAAGATTCGACTTGGGACTGGCAACTCTATCCCGTAGAAACACCAATGCCACTGAAACTTCAAAGCTGAAGCTTCAAGCCCCATGTTCCATCACCAACGCAAAAGGAAATAAATAAGTAAATAAATAATTTATGATTCCAGTCACGTCTATAATAAACATCTGAGATAACCTGAACCACCTCAATGATTACTGATAAAATTTATCAAACATGCCAATTGAAATCAATCGAACACAACTTTAATGTTTCAAATGCAAAATCTAAATATACATTTCAAGCAGAATTTTAGCTAGCGCATAAGCAAATTGCCTTCGAGCGATAAAAGTTTACGAAATTCGATAAAGTATATTAAAACTATACTATTTTGAGAATTAGACAGACCAATTTTGAGAATCTGTCCCTCTGTTTATCGTTTTCTTATTCCTTTAGCCTCAGATGCAACATGGGGTTTCACGCTTCTCTAGTCTCAGAAGCGGTAGTGCTGTTTTTGCTAGCTGACTTTCCTAAACTCAGGTAGAACCTTCCCTCTTTTTTCTGGGTCTATTATTGGCTAGTAAACTTGGTGAAGCAAAAGAGTACATGCTCTATGGATCAAATCCTGATAACCTGGCGAACAATCTACCATAGAGCCATCAACTCACGCTTTCTATGAATTTAGCCATTCTCATTATCAACTTTCAAACTATATAGAAATAACGAATTAAGTACATGAGGCATACACACAATGCCAAATAATATATATTTCTCCCCTTTTCTATTTAAACTTTATAGATCTATGATAGAAATCAATGTTCAAATAAAACATCTTCAATGAATGATTTGTTTCGTGATTATGAAATTCAAGTTTTTTCAATGATCTGTAGTATTTTACAAACAAATGATTTGAATGCTGTTCAACATTGGTTAGAAAATGCTACAGACAGGTGAGCTAATTGAAAACTTTTAATATTGTTTGAGGAAAAAACCTATTTAAATATTGATAAAAGTTACTGTTAATGTTTGCTTTCATTAATATCATTATTACTTTTATTATCATGAAGGAAATGAGATATTTTCCCAAGAATACCACACTTCCAAAAATTGCATCTACTCAGAACTAGTTTTGCGGTTCCGAAAATGAAATAGGATTCTCTTGAATATACACTTCATTCTTTTCAAATGTTGCTTTGCGGAGATTGGTTGGAGTGTCCAGAACTCTAATGGTAAATCTTGGCCAGTAGGGTTCACCAAAACAGGCGATGTGACAACAAACACTCGCCGATGACACTAGCTGCCAGTTGTGCTACATACCTCGAAATAGCATAAGTAAGAATTCATGGGCCACTGCATTCGATTTCAGTGGATAGATGGTCAAAAGGCTTGCCTACATCACGTCCCAGTCGGGGTCATGGAGGACAATCCTAGTCTAGGATGAAACGGCTGTTCAGTACTCCTTCATTTTCGATAGTTCTGTAACCTCGCACTCAATGTTTCTTGAAAATACTCAAAAATGAAGTTGTAACGGGAGTTATTCACTAAGGAGTGGTTTTTAGGACATCAAGGGATCATGGTAAACCCAAAAAAAAATACTAAATTAAATTACAGACTGATACTTTCTTCCTATTTCCATAAATATGTACTGAATAAAAGGATTTTTAATATAAATATACACAGTCGACTGGGGCAGGTTTTCTAAACTATATTAACCATTCAGCTGAATGGTTAAATTTACCCCTAGTTCGTTCTTTTAATGAACTACTATGGGATGATATTGTAATGCCATCTAATAAAGCTTGAATGTAGTTCAAGACATGTGCACTTCATCCCCTGAATTTTCATTGGACGAACTTTTATCTACAATTTTAATCAGTGTAATACTATTACCATTTATTCCTTGCGTTCCGAGTGGAACATAGGGGTTCACAGTCTGGGTTCTCTGCAGTCACTTTCAGTTAAACCTAAGACTGCTCACAAGCATTAATTTCCTCTTCACATGAACCTACCCATGTTAACCTCGGACGTTTAACCCATTGTTTCCCATTAGAGTTCCATCCGGGAGTCGATGTGGCGTATGTTGTCGTTTAAATCTCTCCTCAGAGTATATTGAGTTCATCTCCACTTCACTCTTCATTTTTAAATTAAAGAACTGCATTATCACATTTTTTCATTTGATTTCCTAAAATTATCCTGTTAAATGATTACCAGTCGCGTGGAGCTGTTGTTTATACTTTAGAGATTGACTGACGCATAATGTTTGGATTGGACACTAGTCAATAACTAGTGTAATGTGTCTGGTCCTTTGTTTCGTGCAGACTGGATTCTATCAGTCAAGTTTGCAATGTTGCCATCCTGCAAAGTGTTTCGACATCATGGTACACTCTGAAATTTTGTCATTAAATGGTTGGAGGTAATCGGCCGGAAACCTGATAGAATTCACTCTTCACCAAACAAAGGAATGGAAGCATGATAGTGGCTACTAATTAGTGTCCTACCAAAGAATCAAAAACAGACCTACAAGAGGTAGACTGGAGTCTCGAATAGCTCAGTGGTAACGTCTCTGACTACAGCACTGTGTGACATAGGTTCGAATCTTAGGAGGGACATAAGTTCCTCCAAGATCGCAGATATGCTCTGCTGACTAGTGAATGCCAACAAGGAAGAAACCGAGATCCAACGATTGCTGCTGATTTCATGTTTAAAAATTCGCCAAGCAAGGAACATCATCTAACATTAAATACAATGATCAGTTAGACATACGCCAGCATTGTAATCATTTATGAAGCTAATATATAACGAAATGTAACGTAATTAAGATAAAATAAGATTTTAACTTATATAAGTTTAAAATTACTATTAATAAGTTCTTTCATTTTGCCGCCTTTATCACTTAAAAGAATAAACTATAAGTTTTTATGACACTCAGAATTGTCGCCTGAAAATGTTTTGATTTCATAAGACTATGTCAATAAAATTAAGTAACACTCTAGGCAAATTAGTGATTATCTACAAAAGTTTATGATAAAAATGGTGAAATGAATGAAACATTGAAGGCTCTTCTCTTACTTCTATTCATACAAATATAGATAAGTTGGGCATAGTCTCAGGTAATTAAAGTGAACTGAGTAGTTTCTGCTGGAACACTTCTATAAGCAGATGATAATACCAGCTGAAGAACTGCTCGATCATACAGAAATGGTTGCATTAAACCTGAGTGCTTCTACCATGTTTCCTCTGGGATACAGAATTGGGCATATTAATAATCAATACGCATTTTTCAGTGAAACGTAAAATGTAAACTCGGAAATAAGTTAAGCGACTAACAGTAGAATCCAGGTTGCGCATTTCGCCCCTCTCGGGACTCGTCACTTGGATATACCTGAATCCCCAAACCGTGACCATACCCTCAGATAGGACGAAGTAAACATTTCTAACTCAACTGTTAGTCATCATCAACCAAAATGAAATCATCTTAGTCCTTAGAAATCACTGAAGCATCCGTACTAGGAGACTGCATTTCAACAAACAGAGAGCATTTCAGTCTAACATAATCAGTATACAGGATAGGCTCAGTAACCTAAAAACAAATGATTAGCGATACTTTCACTGTAAAATTCTACATCATGTTAAAATGGAATCGGAAGCATTCACATAAAAAAGTTGAAATTAGTGACGAAGATTTCATTCATAAGGATAACTAAAGTCTCACAGTTAAACTGCTCAGTTTACAGGACACAAGAGCACTGAAGTTAAATCTCTCGATAAAACACTAAAGATATGTTAAGTAAGGAAGCTGAAAATACAGTCAAAACTAGTGAATTGTAATGGCAGTTACAACATACATCATAAAGAACTTATTGTCATTGATGATGCCGAAAGTCGATGAGGAAAGATTTCAATTGGATCACTTCTGCTGTCTTTGCTTGTAAGTCATTTAAAATTTCAGTGTTGGTTTGTAGGGATTAAATCGGTAACAAGTTTGATCACAGGCTTATATCAGCTAAAGAACTACTGGAAAGTCAAGGAGTACTGGACAGCTGTTTCATCCTATGTAATATTGGTATAAGTATAAAACTTGGGCACTGTGGTAGAGTATAACTGCATTATAGATAAGATTTTATTTTGATAAATCACACAGTGTTATACAGTGTCATATTAAGTTGACTTAATATGATAATGAGCAATAGTTTATGCTCGAAACCTCATCAGTTAATATTACTGTAGAACACTGTGTGATCTATCAAAATAAAATCTTATCTATATTGGTGTTTTACCCTAGTTTGGGGAATTATCGGTAGTACGCACCCACTGAGGTTATAACCCAGGACCTTCCAGTTACAAGTCAAGCCCGTATACCATTCAGCCATTAAATCGGGTTCCAGTGTCTAAATGGTGTACGGGCTTGCTTTGCAACCGGAAGGTTCTGGGTTCGAACCTCAATGAATGCATACTACCGATGATATCCAAAATAGGGTGAAACCGCTGTCCAGTTCTTCCTGGTTTTTAGTGGTCCCCTGACTGATATTAATCTGTGGTCAACCCGTCAAAACAAATCTAATCCTTACAAACCAACTATTGAAAACAGTTTGGGACTCTTATTCAGTACCTGCCCACAAGAGTTCAACCTGAAGGCGTGCTCGTAAACCCCCATCCAGCCACAGAGAACCAATACTTAATTTTCAAAGTTATTTACACAATCTATATAAAGAAGGTGACTTGGAAAATAAGCTATTAATACTTTCTACTTTTTCTTGGCAAGACAGCATGGGCCACGCTTTTCTATTTCCAGATCTTTTCTTCAAGAAGCGTATGTAAGGTATTACGCCATTTGAACCATTATTTAATTTGATGAATAAACCTTTGAAAGTCTAACTGAGCCAATTTTACCATCCAGAAATTCCTTCTATTTGTTCCTAAAACGTAACCATTATGTTAAGCACAGTGATCATTGACTGTAATCACTTCCCTTCATACATCTTTCGATTGTGTGCTAAAAGGTATTGATAACTTCCTGCACAAAAGCTGTGTCAGCCTAAATATAGTTCCGCCTACATGAAATTATAAGCTTCAAGGTCAAAATACAAATCTGAAATAGGATTCTTTGTTCGTATTTTATAATGGTAAGTATAAATAAAAATAAAATAAAAAATATCCACACCATTTCACACAAAATTAAAATCAAAATAATATGATTTTATCTACCACACTATTTAAAGCTAAATGAAACTGAAAATGTCCTTGTTTAAGGATTTACTTTATTGGTTTTATTTCTGTGTTTGAAATTACAACACATTTAAAAGAATAAACATAACAGACTGTCTATGATTCCTTTCTCCAATTTTATTTCATAAATTTTAGAGAGAAAAATTTAATTATCAGTTTAGTTTCTACTGCACTATCCCATCAAGATGCATATTTCAATGGCAAACAGAATCATGCAAATTGTCAACAACCTGAATCGGACACACATTGGTCTCGAAGAGAGAAAAACTTGGTAATTGTTGATCCTTTTTTTAAATGACACAGTTTGATAAACTTTAAATTTCACCACATCGTCGAAGCATCTGCACAAGGAGGCTACACGTCAACCTGAGACCGAGCACTTCGGTCCAATCATTCGACAGGAAAATCTAAATTGAACTGAATAATTCAAATTTCACTTAGTTTATAATCCATCTAACCTCATACATAAGATAAAACTGCTAAGTGGTTTATTGTTACTATTCGTCCTTAGTGGGATGTAGAGTTCCACTAGTCCATCGTCAGTTGACTTCATTCTCTGTATTCTTTTTGGGTTGCCTCTATGGCTACCCAGAAGACTTCATCACCTGGGTGTCACTCTCGGACGCCGAACTTGTATTTTCCCATTCTAGCCCCCTGTAGGGTCTGTCTGGTACATGATGTCATCTGACGGTCTCCTCAATAAATGTCCAGTCCATCTTCATTACTTTCTGCATATTTATTGGGCTATGGATTCTTGATCTGGCGAGTTATCTGACCTTCAGTGTCGACGTTGAGTTGGCAGCTATTGATAAAGGTCTGAAATAAATATATGTCAACTACTTGATCGAGGTGAAAAACAGTCTAGTCAAACAATGGATTATCAGTTGCCACTTAGTTTAAAATATCCTAATTACAGAAGGCTTGATGGGCATTTTGCAAATTACGAAAATAACATTCAAAATAGCTTTAAAATTTAATAGCTTATTGTAAATTCCATTTAGAAATAAATGCGTGTTCTTAATGAACTCAAATACACGATTGGAAAAAAAAAGAGAGAACTAATCCTGAGAAAAGAAACAATGTCACAACTCTACCTGAAGTAACACTTGTCAACCGCCTCTCTGTTTTAATTATATATATATATATATATATATATATATATATATATCTGTTTTACAGGTGACATTACTTGACTTTCATAGAACTTTGATTTCGGTGTAAGGTAAACGGATTTTCACCATTGCTATTAGCATCTGGCAGAGGCCTCTTCAAAAGAAAAATTCATCACCCTGCCCTTTGACAAGACAGTTTACTAACTTATCATAATGCTTGTAAATATCTGCAAAGTAAACAGAACAAAAGTATGGTACCATTTTTCTGAGAAGAATTAGGTTAGCATTCAATAACTCACCATTTTCATTCCTTCACGTTCCCAGTGGAACGTAAGGCTTCAAGCTAGTAGCTTGAAGTTTCTGTAGCAGTGTTGTTAGCCTTATGTCCAACCTTTCCTCTTTACCAGCTTCGTTACTGGCTTAGCGAGGTAAAAGAGTACGTTGGGCGGGGATCGAACCCCGAACCACATGCGTGGTCGACGAGCACCACCACATGTTTCCAGCTGTACACTTATTCATCTGATAATGGGCAACTTAAGTTTACATTCTCCAGTATGTAGATGAACATAAATGCAGTTTATGCAGTGTAATTGATTGTATGGAGGATTTCACCATGAGCTGACATCAGCTGGAGAACCACTGGAAAACCTGAGAGTACCGGACAGCTGTTTGATTATCGAATCATTTTGTACCACTAGGTGTGAAGTATTTCCAAAGAGTTCTTAAAAGCTTTTAAAAACTGAATAATGTTAAAACGACAATTAGCGTCATGCTTTTTAGTCTCTATTGCTAAGTGAACTTTGGTGATCAAGTCAATAATCTATTTTCTGAAAGAAGAATATTCTACGTTAAAAATGTATCCACCGCATAACTGGCCTTTATTGTAACGACAATAAATATTATATTTTATAATTGTAAGAACCTGAAGAGGAGAAATTATTGAAAAGAATATTCTTCGTTCAGACTGACTTTTAATTCATGATATGGGAATATTTCACACTATTAAATCTATTTTCTTATCTAAGCATCTATCGAACATTACATCAAATATAATCCAGTGATTGGAGAATAGAAAAATATACTTCTAGAAGGAATCATGAGTCAGTTGTATTTCTCTGAGATATGAGGTGTTCCTGCAAAGCCCGAAAACAAGAGTCTTGGTAACGGACCCTTTTAATAAAGAAAAACACGCCACATTTATACATTTTTAACAGCACTAAAGGTCAGCCAGGTCAGACGACAATAAATTGTTTTGATTGGTTGTCAATCTGCCAAAGATTGAACCTTGAGAAGAAAAGTTGTCCAATGAGATTTTATTCCTGACCACAACGTAAACTAAATCCAAATTTGAGAGAGAAATACTTCCATATCAGCAGTCAACCACTGACTTAAAATGCTGTTTTTAGTCTTTGCTGCTTCCTATCACTCTGTGTCTATATTCTACTGACAAATCTGATCAGTAGCACACGCCATATTCATATCCAAAGTTAAAGAGATCAGTTTCAAAAAATGTAAAGCCTTTAAGTTACGGTCTTTAAATGTAGGCTTCCAAAATACTGAAATAATAAAGCTGTCATGTCCACACTTATATCTTTGTGTTTTCTTTTTTCCGACATTATATCTTTCTCTACAGAATATGAATACAGAGATAGAAGAGAAGAATGTGAAGAGTTGTAGTACTACAACTGATCGTTTGGTTATAGACGATGTTCATAATATAAATGAAACACATAGCAGAGGTTAGTCATTTGAACCCATTAATTCTACTTCGATAACAACAGGTTTAATCACCTAATCATTTCTTAAGATATGTATTATCAGTTTAATTGGAGTTAAAAAGTCAATTTACTGCTGCACAAAAGTGCCTGATAGGGCCCCATAAACCTACAATCATAAAAGATTGAAGACAATATGTCACTGTTTTCCTTTAAAATATTCTGAACATTGAATGGAAACATCTGTCCTGAACAGATTTAACGTATTAATATTATTTATTATATCATTATTCTTTTGGGTTCCGAGTGGAACACGGGGCTTTAGTGACACATCTGCCATCCTCATCAGCTGGGTTCGCGATTGACCATAATCTCTCATCTCCTCCTCCACCTCCTCCTCAAAACATCTGCTCTATATCACCCTCACACCGACGACTCACTCGTCGCTTCCCGTTCGGACTCTACCGGAGCAAAGGCCTGCATTGCGCTAGATGTCACTTGACAATTTGCTCAATATATGCCCAATCAATCTCAATTTTCTCCAACAAATTTGTTGAGCGATCGCCTCTCGCCTGTTGGTTTTGTCCATAGCCAGAGTTGCTTGTTACTAATTCTTTCTGGCCATTCGATCTTCACCTGAGAGCCTGAGAAGGCAGCTGTTGAGAAAAGTCTGTAGCCTTTTGGAAATCCTTTTGCGTGACACGCTGGCCAAATTTCTGACCAGTATAGAAGAATCGACTTGACATTGGTATTGAAAATTCAAACCTCGTTCCTTATGCTGAGCGTAGAAGATTTCCAAACTGTTTTCAGGCTGATGAAGGCGTATCTTGCCTTTTCGATTCTGGCTGGCTGGCTTTGACATCTTTATCCGTTCCGCCTGCATTACTTATCAACAGGAGTGATTATTTCAGTACAAACACTTCATATAATGCTTTCACAAATTAAAAACATCAGTCTGGTATATTATTCTGTCTTGGAGAAAATATTGCCAGATACCGAAGTTGTCGTCTAATTCGGAAAATCCATACTCCATCAGCCTATTTGACGGAATACTCGCACTATACGTCTCCAGTTGGTAGAAGTTAAAATGTATGTACCATTTGATTTCGCCCCGATGTTCATTAACTCGCCTCGTAACCTGAAAGTGCTGGGCTTGCTTTCCAGTGAGGTCATGGATGCCCACTGATGAAGAGTCCCGAACTAGGACGAAAAAGCTGTGCAATACTTTATGGTTATCAGTAGTTTCCTAACTGAAACCATTCCGTGATCTAACTCGAAACCAGTGTAATCTCAGCAAACGGACACTTGGAAATATATAGTTTTAGGAAATCTACAGTAATTAAGCGTTAACTTAAATGTTTTACTTCAATGAAGACTGTTGTTAATCTAATTCCTCTTTTATAGTGTTTCTCAACTCAATTCTTGTAAACTTTCCTATTTATCTGTCTTACCTCACTAATGTGTATCAACTTCTTAAAAAACACTTTATGATTGAAATTGTTATATATTTCTAGTTGAAATTCTGCAGTATTACTGAGAGCTGTCTGTATAACAAAATAATTTAGCATGCCAACATCAGACAGTATCTGAATTACATTCACAGTTATTCCCATCCATTATATCTAAATGATACGAAGTTGTAGCAGTTATGGCAATCGATCTTCTTACCTGAATAGTAATTATTATATAACCCTAGTCATGCAGAACTTTATTCAGTGCTACACCTTTTTAAGCTAGAAATTCACCACAAAGTATATTAAGAGTCATCATACTCAGTATGTCTCACTTTTCATTCACATTTAGACAGTCACTTTAACTTGTAACGAGCGTATTTTCAATTAGAGGGAAAACATTATCCTTTGAGGTCTTTTCCTTAAAAACTATGTCGTTTTTTTTAACGATAAACACTTCTGTCTATTTTAGTTTTTTTTTTAATATTTTAAGTATGTTTTTCTTTTTGAAACAAGGTATACAAGCTAATCTCCTTGACGCAACATCAAATCAAACTGTGAACAGTGACGATACGGATATGAAGACATCAATTAATAATACAAATGTTTCTTCTAGTCTATGTCAAACACCTCTGAAATCCTGTTGGAGACAAAATGAATCCATAGGAGTCCCCTGAATTCTAAACGGATATCTCAAAAGAAAATGAAAACAGTGATTATTTCACCTTGAACACATCTATTTTGAAATGTTTGTTCAGCAGTCCCTAAAGTGTAGTAGAACTTAGCAATAACTAATTATTGAGATGCCAAACAGATTACCTACCTTATTCATTTGCTGGAAGTTACATATAAAGCAGTGGATGTTGTTTCTTAGTTTCTTAAATAAGTTTCTTCCAATTTCTAATGATTTATGCAGAATGTATAACAAGTTTAATCGGTCTACAATAAATGAATACTTACTCTCTTCCCTATTGTTTGTTCTGCTTATGTGGTAAGTTTTGCTACCTCCTTGGAAAATTCATGCAGGTTTCCTGTAGTTATGCTGAACTAATGCTCTCGTAAACAAAACTGTCACTGTCTTTCCAGGCGTTATCTTCAATCGTTGTGGATATGAGGAGTGACATCAACATGGATAGTTGTACAACCTTACTATCACTTCGCTTATGTGATTGGTTGGACATGATAATTTTGTTTTCCTTTACGTTCCCAGTGGAACACGGGGCTTCAAGCTAGATCTTTGAAGTTTCGGTAGCAGCGGTGTTTATTTTTACGGGATGGGGTTGCTAGCCAGCCTCATGCCCAACCTTCCCTCTTTACCAGTCTTATTAGTGGTTTAGCGTGGTAAAGGAGTACGGCGGCAGGAGATCGAAGCCCGAACCACCTGGCGAGCATTCTACCGATGTATCACCAACGCTCGATAGATGATTTTAATGATCATTGTACTGAGACTATACAAAATAAGCTAATGTCCTGTTAGAATCAAACTTCCGAAAAGAAGTTGTTGGATCACTTTTAAAAATGTTGAATAACATTTAGAAACAGTGAGATATGAAACTCAACCAAGGTTTATGCATCTAAAGAAAATTAAATCTAAAATAATATACAGGTCACCATTAAATATATACTTTCTCAATGGAATTTAAGATTTAATATTCTCCCCAAATTGAAAATACTAAAGTCAAAATTTCAAAATTCTTGTCTTACTAACCTTTAAAATGACTACAAGAAATCAGTGTAATTCTAGTATTTAGATCATAGGATTTGGTTTGGTTTCAGTTGCTAGATTCCGTCACTAACAGAAATCACTTACAAATCACTGAAAATCAGACAGCATTAAGTGGCTGTTTCATCCTACTTCGATACTCTTCGGAAGTCAGCACTCACAACGCTATCTTGCATCGGATCTGGTACCCTCGGGTTACCACACTAGGCTCGTTGACAATTCAACCACATGGGACGGGATTCAGTGAATTATGACTGCTAGCGTTGTCAGTTCATGATGTAGTGCTACCGCCAACCAATTCCTCTGATGAGTCTGCACTTCACTTAGACATAGTGGACAACAATGATCAAGACTTATTAGTACAGCCTAGTGAAATGTATCTAATGACTACTCCTTAAGAGTCATCATCATTGTCACTGAACTCTAGAGACGGTACCTGAAATTTTTCAAAGAACAATAGTCAAAAGACGAAATAATAAATGATACCTCTATAATTAGACTGCCTATTTAAACCTCGATGTGTACAGAGATGAAATTAAGGATTCTGGGTGTGACAGGGTAAACAGATGGAAGTGACCAAGGCTGTAAAATCAGAAGTCGGAATTAAGTGCTTTATGCTTCTCTTTGTTTCCCGATGATGCTCTTTTATAGATATCCTTTATACACAGTTAACTCAAGTACAAACTCAGCTGTCGTTTATTCTAACCACAGGTATCTATGATGTCAGCATAGAATTCCAAACATATTAAATTTAAACTGGAATAAAACGTGTACTTTTTGTCTTCCTTCACGTTCCGCAGTGGAACATAGGGCTTCAAGCCAGTGACTTGAAGTTTCTGTAGCAGTGCTTATTTTACACGATGGAATTGCTAGCCTTATGCCCACACTTCCCTATTTACCAGCATTATTTCTGGCTTAGCGAGGTAAAGGAGGGCGTCGGCCGGTGATCGGATCCCGGACCATGTGCATGGTCGGCGGGCTTCCTAACCGCTATGCCACCGACGCACAAACTGGAATAAAACGTGTACATGATTACCATTTTGTATTTGTGACCTTCAAAAATACTGTCTGTCTGCCTGTCTATCTTCACAATTTTTCATAATTAGACACTTTTTATATTCTATTCTGAAGCAAATTAAGTATTCGTATGGAAATTCCTTATAGTGATAACAGAATTAGGATAAGAATGACTAATTAAGTATAGGTTAAGCAAGAGCTTGTTTTGTTCCTCTCATCTTTCTTCAGCTGACTAAGCTACTCCGAAGGAATACATCTGACTTCCAGTAAGTTAAATGTAACAATTACCGGACTTTACGTGATTAAACAACAACAAATTCTCAAGTGTTTTCTTGCAGAGATCTGATCAGTTACTGGTTTGATCATGAGGGAACATCAGTTGCAGAACCACTGAAAATTCAGGGAATACCGGGCACCTACTTCGTCCATATTCAGGAATCTTCATCGGCACGCACCACTAGGGTTCAAACCCGTGACTCTCCTGTTAAACGGCATGCTGGGACACTACTGGAACATGATCCAACGGCTCAAGAATTCCGGCTTCTACCAACCTGCGAAATATACAGCGCAATCGTTAGCCAATGTCATAGGTGAGTAACTACTCTCTTACCTGACTTGATGGACCCCGCCAGTTAAGACTTCTCAAAAGAACTCCATATAACTTCTTACATAGGGCCAATCGTTAGTTGGCATCAAATTAATTTTTAATTGTTGATTTGCTGGGTTCTCATTTCTTGCACATTCCAGTGGCTCAATGTTTTACGAGCCCACCATGTAAGCGGCAAGTCCTGGGTTCGAACTCATGTGGGTGCATACCAATGAAGATTTCTAAACTTGAATGAAGCAGCCACTCAATACTCCATGGTCTTTCAGTGGTTCTGTAACTCATATCAGCTGGCGATCAAACCTGTACTGTAGAATGCAATTGGTCATTACTAAATATATGTTTATTCTCATAGCCTACTTTACCTCTATAGTTCTCTTTTTATTCCTCTTTCTCTTCTTCTTCTTCTATGCTGATTGGCAATTGTTATTAGTTTCACGTTGACCTAAGAGACTCACTAGTAATACTAACAACTACTTAAAAAGCAGCAGTTTAGCGTATGTAACCTACTTACATCATATGCACTGTACAAACAAAAATAAACAAATACGAATAAAATATTTCCAACTAACAGTTGACCAATATCATTTGTTGTTATGGTGACCTGGATCAATACTATATAGAAAAACCAAAATTTAAACTTAATTTCTCAGGTTGCGTTACACAATAATTCGAATAATGTGATGTAATTTAACCCTATAACTATTTCTCAATCAGTGAATGAGATTGTGAACTGCATTATCAGCATAATAGTATTCGTTCCTCGAGTTCCGTATAGAATATAAGGCTTCACGACTCGGCTCTATGTTATGAGTTTCAGCTATCTGTACGACTGTCCATAACATTAAATTTTCTGTTCACTTGGTCTTCTCCATCTCACCTTCGGACTTCCAACTTGTAGCTTCCCATTCGGATTCGACTCATGGGCGTACTTGGATGTCGCCCCAGAGTACGTTCACTCCATCTCTCCTTGTTTCTTCACATCTGCTTGGCAATAGGTTATCAGGTATTTCGCTTTCGGTGTACCTTGTTGCTTATCGTTCCCCACTGACTATCTGACCATAAGCATCGAGTGAAGGCAGGTGTTTATAAAAGTCTGTAACAGACCGTCAGAAATGCTTTTCGAGACATACGAGCTAAGTCTCTAAACCACAAGGAAGCAGTGACCTGACATTCGAGATTAACATTCGTGACTTACCCCTTTTCTGAGAGCTATAGGTCTCCATATAGTCCAGTTAAACATCGAGAGATCAAAATGACTCATAACTTCTTATGTCTCGATTGTGTTTAGAAGCACACTGTGGTATATACAAGTTAGTTGGCGCACAACGTGCCTTAAGCAAAAAGATGATATTTAATGAGAGTAAATAATGGTTGTATTGTAGCTTACTCCCAAATAGGCTAAATAGAAATCAAGGGTTAAATATTAGATAAATGTGTCATTTATTCAGAGATAACTAGCACTGTAATCGAGAACGTACTTTTCTTTCTATAACGAAAGCATCAACTGGATTTTGCTGTATACCAGTAAGTGATTCACCCTCAATAGCTGGAGATTTTAAACCCAAAGTGTCATTAACTTGTCTTCTGATATACAGCAACTGCCTCGTTTATAAAAGGAATCACTTGCTATTATTAAACAGTCTCAATTGGAAAACCACCTTCCGGTAGCCAAAATAAAGTAATGGCCGTTTATTAATACCTTAAGTTAAATCGATCAACATACACATATATGTCAGAATATGTTCATTAGAAGGGAAAGAATATCACCTTTAACACAGTTTCCTAAATAGATTCCGAAAACTTACTGAACAATTGGTCAAGAAAGGCATATGAAAGTTGGAAAAATAATGATTTACTTGAGTTTATAGAAGCAGTCAACAGTGCAGGGATAAGACCAAAGATTTATATTGAGAAAGATGCGAGTTTCAAACTTCAACTTCCATTATGATTACATATTTTGATTTAACAATAAATGAATACCTAGTATATTCATATTTACTTGAAATTCTATTACTCTGTGACCCCATTTGGTTTTAAATTAATCCTGATGGATTTCATACGTATAGTTACACTGTCACACCAAACATACAGACATTAATTTCTAATTTGCCATTTCTTAAATGTGCCATAAGAGTATCTAAATACACAGTGACTTTAATTAATTTAATTTACAAGTCCTTTTGTTTCCAATTTGATAACTTATTGTCTTCGTCGATGTAGTACATTCAAATCGAATTCGAAATCTGTAATTTACACAGCTCAAGTTGTAATTTCACCACAGTATCCTTCGGAAACCAAAATTATTCAGACCACAATGTGCGATTTGATGGACAGCATAAAGCGTAATCAAGAAACCAAGCATCAATGCATAAAACCACATATCACTAACTGGTATACATGAGTAGATACAGACCACTGATATCGACCAGTAGCATTTGCTAACTAGACTGGAGTTGTCTAAACACCGGATGGACGTTTCGCTCTTTCGGTATCGAGTACTGCAGCGGTATACCCGGTTTTACTCAGTTCCGAGAGCCAAATTAGTTGAAACCACTGGATGATTTGATGAGCTTCACCTCACAGGAGAGAAACGTCTATCCGGTCTTTAGATCGCTTCAATCAT